GAGCCACTCCTAAACACCTTTTGAAATCCGGGCCTACGTGCCAATTTGGTTGCCCAGATGTGGAAGCAGGTGACCTAACTCAGGAGCCTAACGGTAAAAACTGGTCACCTGGTCTGAACTAGGTAACTAGAGCAGAGATCTCCACTTCGAATGCGCTATGTTCACCTGTCGCTAAGCACCTCTCCCGTCAGGGAGGAGTTGGTTGTTGTTGTGATGGGGGTGTAGATTCATAGCTGCTAAGGCCAGAAGGGACCATTGTGATCACCTGGCCTGCCCCTCCTGCACAGCACAGGCCGGAGACCTGCCCCAAAATAATTCCTAGAGCAGAGCTGTTAGAAAACTATCCCATCTGGATTTAAAAATTGTCCGTGATGGAGAATCCACCAGGGCCCTTGGAAAATTGTTCCCTCAGTTAATTACCATCAGTGTCAAAAATGTCGGCCTTAAGTGTCTGAATAAGTGTGAAGTGGGGCTCAGTCCTGTAAGAACGGCATACGTTTTCCATCTCTGCGTGACAGGTTCGCTCAAACGGCTGAGCAATGATCATGGATGTGTGCTTCCCAAGTGCAGCCGAGAGGATTGCTACAGGTCTCAACGCTAGCCACTTGTGTGCCATTGTGAGTTGCTTAGTTCAGGACTGTTGCTTGCAGCTTTGATTCGCTATGACTGTTGTTACTGTTCATTTTGTCTGAAGGTGCTGAGATGCCAGGGAAACTCCTCGGCCAGGGACGCCCCCAGGACGTGAGATAAGGTCAGGGACCCTGCGATGTGGGGCACAGGGGGAATCCTCAGATGTAGACACAAGGTGGAAATGCAGGAACAAGCATCCCTGGGCTGTGACACTGAGGAGCTGGGGGCGAGGAAGGATAAATCGTGGGGGTGGGGATGTTACAAAGCCCCTGGGCAGGAGAATCTGAGCTGGGAGGGGAGTAGGTGTCCTTGAGTCAGGAGATGAGAGTGGAAATGCTCATGCAGCGAGTCAAGGGCATGTCGCTGGGTGATTATACCTCCCTGTGCCTGGTTTGCAGTTGTTCTGGGTTTGAAACATCTGACTGCATGGTGTTTCTTCCCCTGGAGTGTTTAGTGTGTTGCTACCAATCAGTCGTCCAGGGAAAGCCATCCAAGCTGATGTAACCCATCCTACCCCTAGTGTCAGCTGAGATGGGCCAAGAGGCAGCAAAGGACACTGAGAGAAAAGGCCCTGGGGCCCTGTCTGGACCCAGAACTCAAAGCTCGGGTCTTTGCCCCTGATACTGCAAGAGAGACCAGGAGAGGGAGGGTTCGGAGGCAAAGTTGAGTTCATCTTTACAAGCCACTGCACTCTGTTCACACTAAGACCTCGTCATCACGTATGGGACCAGTCCTGTACCCACTGAATGCACTGGCCGCTGCTCAGTAGTCTTCAAAATCAGGCCACTTAAGTGCCTAAATATGAATGTAGGAGCCAAACCTTAAGCACCCAGGCTGGGTCTTTCAGAGGAGCCCCAGGGAGTTAGGAGGTTGCCCAAATCTCTTTGGAATCCAGTAGGAGTTGGGCACCAAACCCCTTGGTATATCATAGGAACCATTTCCTGAATCTGGGCAGCCAGAGGAAAGTGGGACTGGGAGCAGCTCTGAATAGGAGGCCACTTGGATTTAGGAGCCTAAAGTTATATTGAGGGGCCCAGGTTTCCACCTGGCAGCCAGCCTTTCCCCGTTGTGAATTCCAGTGGTCTCAGGTCAGTGCCACCTGCACTGGAATCCATGTCAGTAAACTCCCCTCACTACGCCCCCTGTGCTGGCCGGCCCAGCACAGAAGAGCTCCGGGAGACAGACCCTCGCCCGTAGGACACAATGTCTCCCTAGCAGTGCGGAGACACCGGGGCGGGGTGGGAGAAACTCGTGCAGCCGAGTCCCTTGCTTTGTCTGATCTGTGGGTAAAGAGCGGACGTCAGTCTCCAGAGCTGCCTACCAGGTACCGCTCAGGCCAACTCAATTCCCCTTTGAAGAGGCTGCAAAGTGCCTTCAGCATTGGTTAGGGGGATGTTGCAGCCTTCCCCATGGGACAGCTAGGGTTGGGTCCTGCCCCACCTGGCAATCAACTTTTCACTCTCGGGCTAATCTCTAGCCAGCAACTGCCCCAAATCTGTTTGTCGCAGCTGGGACTGTCTGCTTAGCCCAGGCCTAGGATTGTCATACTGCACGATATTATGGCCCTTGTGAAGTCCCAGGGCTGGAATAGCAGGGGTCTATCTAGGTCCGATGTGAGGTGCCTGTACAGAGCTGTGTGGGGTCCCAGCCCCAGAACCGCAGGCGGGGCTCCAGATCAGAATTACGGTGCACAGGCGGCTTGGGTAAGTGCAGGTCTGAATCCAGCCGGGGGCATGGATCCGTTATGCTTGTCGGCCCTCTACCCCCCACCAGCGAAGCTAAGGATAAACAGCAGCATGAACTGTAAGGACGTGTGGCAAGCGACACTGGTGAGAATGAAAGTAAGACGTGACTAAAACAATTGTGTTATCAGGTGTGACTTGGTAGAGAGCACTATTGCAACAGGGAGGTGAAAGTCCAGTAAAGGTGAAAAGCACGTGAGAGTGGGGCAGAGTTAAGGGTAGACTTAGGACCCCTTTTTGTTCCCCAGCTTATTAGCTCAACCTCTTTTCAATGGCATCTGACTGCTCGAAGGAACCAGGCTATAACTGCTTGCAGGAATTCTGGAGATACTCAGCCTCATACAGCCTGATCCGAAGCCCACTGAAGTCAGTGGGAGCCTTTCCATTGGCTTTAATGGCCCATGGTTTGCTCTTTTTCCCCTTGAAGCAGTATCAGCCCTAAGTTCTATAACCTATAATTGGAGTGGAGTTAAGATACATACGACTGAAACATACAAACATTTGTGTGACTTAAAATAGTCTATATCGGTGTGATTCCTGGGGCAGTTTGCACTGACAGTAATTAGAAGGAACCATTGCTAGGTTCTATTGTCAGCATATCACACGCTTCCATTGGTTTTACAAATGGGCAGAGGGTAAAATAGAAGCCCAAGAGCCAGCCACTCAAGTCATGTGGTCTAGGGGAGTGAGCATAACTGCTCTGTGCCTCAGTTTCCCTATCTGTGGAATAATGCTGAGCTCCTCAAAGGGGTCTGACTTGGCTAATCTTATACAGTGTCACTAGAGCCCTATAGGCAAGTGAACCCAATGGGCAGGGATGCCATGAACAGCGTGGCAGCAGTTTGTTGATTCACTTTATTTAGCGGGGTGCACTATTCTGATCCCACTGTCTTTTGTAGTCGTAGGCTAGCTGAGCTGTCAGCAGTGCAGCTCAGTCGCCAGGGGGTGTCTTCACCCAGTTGAAGGAAATGAAAAGACGGCTCCGCCCGTGGTTCCAGACAGCGTCAGCGGCGTTTTCTCTCGCTTACATTGATTTCAAACCAGGGGAGAAAGTGCCCCGTTTCCCCCCATTTGCTTTGCTGCGGTACCGCGAGGGCCCAGAAGCTAGCTCTTCGTGTGCAAATCCGTGTGTATATTTCATATCGAGCCACAGTGATTCCACGCAAGGTGGGATTCTAGCTGACATGCCGGCTCACACCAGATCATGGCTACGAGTCAATGTGAAATTGTACTGCTTTCTCACAGGCCTCTCTTGTGCCACTTGGGCCATTGGCTAGATTCTGGAATATTACCACTGGGGGAAAAACTTGCTGGTACCACTTCCCTACTGCCCCGCTCCCATCCACACCATGGGATTTCATTGCCAAGAGTGTCCTGGAGAATTCCTTATAGGCCTTTGCTGGATCTGGCAGGCCGATATTATGCTATTGAATGCCTAAGTAACAGGGCACTGGGTGAAATATGCAGGGTCTAAAGGCTTTGAACTCAATGTTTTTAAGTAAAAGCCATCCAACCAACCAAAAAATGGTGCTCCTACGCTGAACTTGCTTACCAAACAAAGCAGAGCTGATGCAAATGCAAATCCAGCTAGAGTTTGTTTCTCACATGGTTGATGTTTCCGAGGCCTAGGAGAAGTGAGTTGTTTTGTTTTATTTCTCTTCTTTCTCTCTCTCTCTCTCTCTCTCTCTCTCGTTCTCTCTTGCATTTTTGTGAATCTAATGATGCACTTATATTGCCCCGCTTTTCCCTTCTCTTCATACCTTACCTACTAAAGGAGGAAATGCCACTTTTTTGGTAAGTGGATGTTAACCAAGAGGGACTTAAAAAAAAAATCAGAATTTAACAAAAAGGAAAAAAAAATGGAAGCAGAAAGCAGGAGTCCATGTAGAGCGCTGGTGAAAACTCAGCAGGGCTCTGCACTCACAGATAAAAACAGTTTCCCAGGAAGAGTTCAGAACCATTCGTTTATTTCAGTAATGACGACATTTGTGGAGTTTTCTTTTCTTTTCTTTTTTTCTTTAATGTTTCTCTTCCTTTTTGTTTTTTATACTTTTTTCCCCCCTGCCCCCCTCCACACCCATTACCTCTCGGCCCCACCCCTCGCCATCTTTCTGTGCTGTCTTCCTCACACCTTGGTTTGTTTCAACCCAAACACTATGTATAAGACCCGCCACTCCATTCCTTCCCCTCAGGCCCGTTCCCTTCAATATCCCGGTTTGGTTTGGTTTGGTTTTTCCTCATTAAGTCCAATTTATTTTCCCCCTCCAACCTCTCTCTTATTTTTTATATTTTTTAGTTTGTTTGGTGTTTACACACAGTTTATTTTGGGTTTTTTTTAAACTCCATTTCAGATGGTTTTTCATTTGAAGTCTCCCTCCCTTCTTCCAGTTTTTGATTTATGGATTTCTTTTGTGTTTTGCATGCGGAGATTTGCATGAGCTGCATTGTTGAGGTCGAAAGGCTGAGCAGGAGGGCAGATTCAGAGTAGAGTTCTGTGTAGCCTGCCTTATGCAATGTGCGTTGACGTTGTGAATTGCACTTCTGGCTTGGGGTTCCCCTTTAAAGACCTCTCTCCCCTTCTTTCTTCTCTTCTTTCCTCCCCACCCCTGTTTCCTTTCTTCCCGTCAGAGGCTGGACTCCACGTCCCCTTCTCCCAGGGGGCATGTCAAGACCGAGCCGCCGTCCCCCCGCTCCAAGGGCGGCAGACGAGGCCCCAGAAGCCCCCGGTCGGTGTCGCCGGAGAAAGGAGGCCGATGCTCCGGAGGGGACAAGTACCTCCACCGACGCCGTTCCCGGTCCCCGTCGCTGCACAAACACAAGGGGAGGAGCAAGGCCAAGGCCTCGGCCCAGAAGGAGTCCTCCCACTCGCTTAGCCACACCGACTACAGCAGCGATTCGGAGGGGTCGGCCTGCTCGCACCCCTACCCGGCGACGCGGGGGGCGGAGAAGAACCATGGGGCGCATTTGAAAAAGTAAGAGTCGGGGCCATGAAGGGAGGGGCCCCGGAAAGCTCAGAGCCCGGTCGCTGCCTGCAGGGCGTGATCCTCCACCCATGAGGTCAACTGGTGTTTCACCCTGGATAGCTGGGTTCAATTCTCTGCCCTGCCATAAACTCCCTGCACTCCCTTGGGTGTCTCGTTGCCTTTCCGGGCCACGGCTCTCTGCCTGTCCAATGTGGCTCACCGCAGGAGCCGGGTAAAGACATTAAAGCGTGCGAGAGGCGGAGATGCCATGGGGAGGGGGGCTGTGATAGAGCGAGAGACCCATGAAGCAGAGGCCTTGGAGCTAACAGGGCCCCTTCTGATGGCGATGATGCGATCGCCCCAGCACCCGGTGTTCACTGTGGGGCAAAGTTTGACTGGCAGGCTGGGAGCAGCGCAGAGAAGAGTGGTGGAAATGATCCTGGTGCTGGAGGCCTGGAGTGCGGGGTTCCGCCTGCTAGGCAGAGGAGCTCCTAAAGGGGAGATGTGAGCGCAGGCTACATGGCTCCAAAGGGCATTAACACCACGGATTGCTCCGGCTGGGTAGGAGCATTAAGGAAGGGGAAATGTAGGCTGGATAGAGGGCTTTCGTTGCACAGGACTCACTGGCCCAGTGAGCGGGACCCCCACCTGCCCTCCCTGATCTGCCCTGTCTATAGATTGGAAATGGTATCGGAGCAGTGCCAGACCTAGAGATGCAGGTTTCAGGTGTGCACATTCCAGGTTTGCAGGGAAACGCGCCCAAAGGAGAAAAGCTACTTCCAGTTTATTCTCTTCTGATCTTCTTGTGGAGCGCATGGCAATCCCCTGAGAATCAGGATCAGACACTGTACACTGCAACCCAAAACCACTGTAGCCTCTGTTTCCCAATACGTGGAAGACAGGTATCACCAGGTTGTATCAGAGCATTGGTCCATACAGTCCAGGTCCTCACAGTGGCTGGTGCCAGATGCTTCAGAAGAAGGTGCTAGAAACCCTTTAGTGAACAATTGTGGAATAATCTGCTCCTTGGGGAAGTTTCTTCCTGACCCCTGAAAGTGAGTGGTTGGCTTATGCCCTGAAGCATGTGGATTTGTATCCCTTTCACAAATATTTGTCCCATCTAATGGAACTGTTGAGGTTCCTATTAGTCATATGACTGTCTCAGACTTTTTGGCATCCTGCTAAACTTGGCCTAAGTATTATCTTGTGGCAGTGAGTTCCATAGGTTAATTATATACGGTATAGGGAGTGCCTTGGCAGCAGAAATAGCCATTCTACTAAAGAATAAAATTAGCCCTATATTAGTCATTGATGGGTACCCTAATTGACACAGTCATGTGGGGTCACTGAATGTTCATGGCCTGATTTTCAGAACACCCAAGGGTCCCATTGACGTCATTTGGCATTATGGGTGCCCAGCACTTCTGAAAATCAGGCCCTAACTGTTGATGCTCCTGGATGCCCACGCCACATTGTTCTCAAGGGATTCAACTGGAAGTGGGGTGTTCCTGTCTCCTTGGAAACCTGGTGGAGGCCAGCGGGTGACAGGGAGTGGGGCTGAGATAGTGACTGGCTGTCTGATCCAATGGTCTTGCAGGGTGAAGGACAGACACCACCGGGGCAGGCCAAACAGCAGCTCCCAGTCCCCTGTCAAGCACTCCAGGCACAACTCCGAGAGAAGGAAGAGCCTGTCCCGTAGCAGATCCTGGAGCTCCAGCGGCTCCCCATCCAAATCCCGGTCGCGATCCCGGGAGAAAAGACCAGCACGGAGCCGGAGCCAGTCTCCATCGCAGAAAAAAACCTCAAGCAGGTGAGGCCCCAGCAGCACACGTCCCCCCAGACAGGATCACGGGGTGGGGTGGTACATGGGCACAGAGACACACTGGCAAAGGCATAGGTCAGGATGCCAGCAGACACTTGGGCACAGATAGGCACCCAGCCAGTGTTCGCACAAGGACACCAGCACACACATGGGGTCAAATGTACCCATGGAGACATGTGCCTTGCACACCTACCCATCCAATCAGGAGAGGCTTAAGCAGATAAATGTGCTTGGTAACATGGCCAGAAGGGCTACAATCTCTGTCAGACCAAGGTGAAGGAAACCATTTCCTTCACTGGGAACGTCTTTTCTCTTCTCTGTACATGGTCATCAAGGGGTACTCGGCTCCAGCCTTCCTGGCTGAGCTCAGTGGCTGGGGTAAGGAGGGCAGGGAGAGAGACACCAGCATCTCTAAGAGGCTCGGCACCCAAACCACAGAGAGCTTAAATGGATCAGGCAGGGGGGTGGCGAATTGCACCCGGAGATCTGAGGGCAACCGGGGCAGCCTGGGGCACACAAGGGTGACCACCTCCCTGGAGATGCTGCCACATTCTGCACTAGCTGAGGCTTCTGCATGGTCCCCAGGGCTAGCCCCATTGCAGCCAGCCTGCCCACCTGTCTGGGTGTAGACACACACAGGTGGACAAGCGACGGAAGCCCCATCTGGTGGGACAGTCAAAGCAAAGCGGTCAGAGTCCTGCACTGAGGTGGACTAGATGGGACCGAATAGACCTGCTCCAGTGCCAACTTTTATGTGACCACGGAAGCCATGTGTGGCCACAGCTGTAACCTGAGCTAACCTGGTGTGGCTCTTTGTCTTGCCCTAGTGGCTAGACAGGGCAAGGGGTTTATGATCTGCTACTGGCTCCAAACTACCGGCGCCATTCCTTTAGCTGAGCCAGGAGAGGCTTGTGTTTTTAACTCCACAGGTCCTGGGTTCCATTCCCACACATGACCCACCTATGGGGTCAGCATGTATACACAAGTAAATGTGGACTCACGCCGACACAGATCACACAGGGCCTACGTATAGGCCTGTAGCAGACATGCGCGCGCATCACGATGCATGCCGACCCAGCTAACATGTGTGGTTTGGATCCAGAGAGAAAGACAACGAGCCCCGAACACGGCACAGTGACACGGATCCTGCCCGGGCCAGGCGCCGCTCCAGAAGCTATTCCCCTATCAGGAAGAGGAGGCGTGACTCTCCCAGCTTCATGGAGCCCAGAAGAATTACAAGGTAGCTCCATGGTGCAGGGGCTCAGCTCCGGCTCAGCTCAGGGGTTTTACTCATTCACTGATAGCCTCAAACCCCCAGTGTCCACCCCCAAAACGCCCTTTGCTCCTCTGCAAAGACAGAGCCCAGGTTGCTGCAGCTGGTCAGCAAAGAGAGAGTTAATTCAATCAATTTCCCAGGTGTTAAAGGTACACTGCCTTGTCTACACTAGGCTGTTCACCTATGTTAGCTAGCACTGTCCAAATCCTAGTCTAGACAAGGCCCCTGTGGTGAACCTTGGGCCCCATAGTAGATAGATAGATAGATGAGTGTATATGGGGATCGATAGATAGATGCCAACATTACAAGCTTCTAAGATCCTTCAAAATAAGTAAATACATGTTTTCTTTTATTAACATTTTATTTATATTGTAAAACAAAAGATCCTGCCCCAGATCTATTTCTCTCATGCGCTGTAAATGCAGAATCTCCCTCTCTTTGAAATTAAACAAAGATCTCAGTCCTAAATTCCAACCTGGGCAATAGTTAATCTGAGACCAGACCCAGTTTGAAAGACTAGAACCTTGTTCAGAGCTAGAAACTTAAACCTCAAACTGAGATTTGCCTTTTCTAACCTGTTTCTTTCTAGCTACTGTCAATTGTGACATTAATATTTGGACAGCTGGATTTATGGAAAACCAGCCTTAGGTCACAGTGGTGAGAATTGTAGCACTAACTTGCCCCTGACAATTAGACTCAAGGCTTAAGAGGCAGAGAGGACAGGAAAATTAGTACCAATGCAATGAGCTAAAGTGTTCTGTGGATTTCTCCGATAGCTTTTCTGTATATGAAGCCAACGGAATACATGATGGTGTAAAATGCTGGTGTCATTGACCCCTGTAACTCACTGTGGCTTTGCGACGTTAGAGTAATGCAGTCCTGCCTTACTATGGGCCAGATTCCCTGCTGATGTAAATGGGCAAAACACCACTGAAGTCAAAGGAGCTTTCACCCATTTGCACCAGCAGGAAGCTTGGACCCATATCTTTAGAGCATCACAGGCCCCAGATGTTCCGGGGCTGCTTGACATTACACAGGTGTGGGTTTGCAGGGCCAGGGTGATGACGCAAGTAAAACAGTTACTGCAAAAGAGAAGCCGTGTTGCAAGGTGACACCACTGGAAATGGAGGTAACGGAGCAGGAACTTGCTTTCCCCCGCCTGTGATGCGTGTGTGTGTGTACAATCCGTGTTACTGCCATGCAATCAATGCCACGGCTTATTGATACAGTGCTGTACAGCACTCACCTTGGTTCCCAGCCCACCCTCCCCCAGCAGGTGTAATTAAGCCATGGTCTTGAAGTTGCCTTTCAGATCTAATGGTTTTTTTCCTCCATGAAGGGGCGATACTGGAAGGGTGCTAGATGGGTTGATTTCTCGGTCTGTGAAACCTGCAGGGCCTGGCTATGAGACGCTACAGACAAGAACAGATGTAGCGCCCCATACAAAAGTGCTGTATTTTCAGTCCCCTGGGATTTTGGGATGCTCCAGTGTCCTGTGATCTGGGCTGTAATGGCATCAACCACTGGAGGGTGTATGGGTGGGGTGATGCCACGGGCATCGTCCCTTTCTGTGAATGCTAGAGCAATGACATCTGCTCCAGAGGGCAAGGCGGGGACCCAGCCATCTGGCTCCTTCTCTCGGCTGAAGTGACACCCATTGCATGGGATGGGCAGAGAGTCCCCGATGTAAGAGGCCAGTTTCAAACCTCTGTAGCTCAGCTTCTGGCCTCACCAGGAGCTGCATTTCCAGAGTCAGAGGGAGGCCTTCGGGGGGTCTTGTTGCAACGTGCAGCCGTTCCACCCCAGCACCCAACGAGTCACCTAGAAGTGAGTCCAGGGTCTATCGTAACAAGGCAAGCTTGCTGCTGGCTTGCACTTCCTGGGAAGCCATGGGCGTTGTCACAGGACAATGCAGAATTGGGCCCACAGTCCTATTTTGGCGCTCAGTCCTACTCCGCCAAATCACCCCAGACACATGCACGCACACATGTGCTCCTTCCCTGTCTCCCACATGGCAAGCCATAGGGGCTGGATAGGATCATCACAGAAGGGACTTGGGTGGGGGCCCCACGGTGTTAGTGGATTCTAGCCCTGGTGCAGCCTTGCCCAGCTGCGTGATTTTATTACCAGTCTCACAGTGCTTGGCGTTTCTCTTAAAGCCCCAGCTGCTGGAGTCCTGTGATTACAGAGAATCTCAGCTTTCATTTTTTTAAGAAAAGGGAACTCCTAGCCCTTCCGCTGGTGGGGAAAAAGCCTGAAGCCATGACCCCCTTTGAAGGCATAAAACCCAGACAGCAACTAAACAGCCCCTGACATTTACTGTAGTCACAATTATGTGAATTTTTTTTTTAAAGCCAATCTCATGATTTTTGGGGGGGGGGGGGGGAGGCTGATTCCTGATTGTTTGGGGTTGGCTAGGCTGGGAGGTGGATCGAGGCAGAAATGGAGCAGTGGGCCCAAATAAGTGGCGGAAGGGTGGTACAAGGGTTAGCACATGAGCCTAGGATTTGGGATCCCTGTGCTCAGTTCCCTGCTCTCCCCAGGTTTGCTGTGGGACCTGGGGCAAGTCACATAGCTGCTCTGTGCCACAGTTTCCCTTCTGTAACAATGGGGAATAACAGCCTGACCCTGCCTCCCAGCGGTGCTGCAAAGCTGGTGATGTGCCCAGAAACTGCAGGAATGTGGGCGTGGAGGGCCACATACGTCCCTAAGATAGAAACGCGGGATGATGCCTCGGGGCCTCTTGCTTGCAAAGGAGCACCAAGCCCCCGCCCAGCCTATGGGAAGACTCAGCAGGCGTCTGGAGTGTCCTTGTTTGCATCTGAGCCCCGGGTGTTTGTCTGACCTGTTCCTCCCCGCCTCCCTTATTGATGCCAACCTCTCCTTTTCCAGCCCGTCTCAAGGTTCCTCTCGGAGAGCGTCGCCGCGGGCCTGGTGACCATGGTGCCCAGGACCCCGCTCCCCGCGTCTCCCTGAATTCACCGTGTGAGGCCTTCAGCGCTAAGCTGCGTCTGTGCCGTCTGGCTCGCTCTGTTGCTCCCACTAACACCACTCACTGGGGCGGGCAGTGTTTGGGGGGGGGGGGGGGTGCATCCGGCGGCTGGGGGCTGCCAGGGGTGGTTTGGTAACGTTCACTCCTTCCTCACTGGTTCGCTGCCTGCTGGGAGCCCCAGCCCCACTGGCCTGAGCCTGCGAGTGCCGGGGTCAGGGGCGATGGAGTCTGTCTGAGTGGGCTTCTGGGGCCAGCATCCTGGCTCCCTGCCATTGCCTGCTGCAGAGAGCCTTGCAGCTGAGGGGCTAACCCCCTAAGCCTCTCCCGCCGGAGCTGCCCTCTGAGTCTAGGGTGGGGCGAGGCATTTGTGAATGGGGCTGAGCCAAGGAAGAGGGGCCACGCGTGAGGTGGGCTTACTGGGGACTGTGCTGGGGGGAGGCCAGCTGCAGAAGGGCGTAAGGCTCAGGGGGCAAGGTGATGAGGAAGTGGGGTGGGGTGAAGGGCCAGTAGGGCAGGTTTGGGGGACCCCCAGAGAAAGGCCCCTGGAGGCCCCCAGGGAAGGATAGGGAAGTCCACAAGAGAGCATCCTCGCAGGGTCTGGTGGTCAAGAGGCCCAGGGGGAGGGTTTGGAGGCCACAGGGGGGAAGAGTTGGGGGTCTTAGGATGCATGGGGGAGGACTTGGGAGGGGGCCACAAAAGGTACCAGGGAGCTGTGGGGGGTCAAGAGATCCAATCCTACAGGAAACCTGCTCTGGCCTCACTTCTCCTTTCCCCCAGTTCTTAGCTTCCCCTTCGTTTCTTCCCCTCTGACATCTGGTTCCCTTGCATGGTGCCTCCCAGGCACTGGCCCTGTCCCCGTCCCCGACCCCCAGGCACATTGAATGGGGGCAGGGAGAGCGGGACCCTCCCCTTTGGGCTGGGGGAGAACCCAAGGGCAGGTTTGTTCTCTCCCCCAGACCCCACGGGAATTAGCAGCAGCTCAGCCCTCCAACCCTGGCCTGGCCTAGACCCCCACTAATCCCTAACTTCTGTTTTTCAGCAGCTTTAACTCTTTGGTGTCGGGGGAAAAAAACCACACGCTACAATTAACCTTTTTCCTGCTCTGTCGTAGCCTCCTAATCCAGGACTAACACCCAGGGGCCACGGCTTGGGCACTGTGGGGGCAGCCAGGGGGGCTGGCAGTGGGGTTTGGCGAGAAGATTAATGCCGCTCATGCCTCCTCAAGGCGCAGGTGTCAGCCATGTTCCCTAGCAGCATCACCTTGTAAAGGAGCAGCACACACCCCCTTTCCCCCTCCCGCCCACCCACCCACCCCAGTCCTGCCGCTCTGAAGCCAGGCCATGAGATTCTGCTGTTTTGGGCAGAGTTCTGGCCTTGGGTCCGGACCATTGAGCCAGGACATTTGGATCCAGATCTGAATCTAAACTTGCCCATTGTTTGGGGAAGGGGGTAAATGTGGGGCTCAGCTGGCACTAAACTAAAGCCCCCGCTCCTCTCAGCTTCCCCCTCTGTGCTCAAGCCAAAGCCCAGAACCAAATCCAACCCCCTGTCTTGCCGAGCCTGGCCCTGACTCAGTTTCCCTTTCATTTGCAGTGCCCGCAAGCGCCCGATCCCCTACTACAGACCCAGCCCTTCCTCTTCCAGCTCCCTGAGCAGCTACTCCTACAGCCGGAGCCACAGCCGGAGCTCCGACAGCTACAGTACCAGCCGGAGCCGGACTCGCAGCCCCCAGAGCCGCTCTCGCAGCCCCAGCCCCAGCCCCAGCTACGACAGTCACAGCAGCTCGGAGAGCGCCGGGTTCTGAGCCAGCCGCAGGCATGCCCCTCTCGCTCCCCTTTCCACCCTGCCCCCGTTGGCTCTAGGGTGCCCAGGCCCCACCCGTCACTGGGCTCCGTGCCCACCCCTCTCACACAAGCTGGCCTGGTCCTTCCAGCACATCCTCGCCTTCTCCTTGAAGAGGGAGATGGAGCCGCCAGGTGAGACAGACAGCTGATCGGGGTGGGGAGGGGAGGTTTGAGGGGCAACCGTGGCAGCTGCTAACAGCTGGCGCTCGAGGCTGACGAGTGGGATGCAGGCAGCGCCCAGCCCCCATTGTTGCCCTGGCTCAAGGGGCATGCAGGGCAGCGGAGGAGGCGGCCAGGCTGATGTTACTCCCAGCAGGCTGCAGTGACCGGGCAAATACAACCCTGCTGTCGCCCATCACGAGGGGCAGGGCGGACTCCAAAACGTCATGGGTTGCTTTTGGGGCGGGGGGGGGTGGTGGTTTTCATGTCTATAAACAAATGCTGGGGTGGGGGATCGGGGGGCATGGAGCAAGGGAACAAAATGCTTAACAGAGACCTTGGACTGGACCCTCCCACGGGGGGGGGGGGGGGCTTTCATGAACAAAAAGCTCATGGACCCAAGGAAGGTTTGGGATGGGTTGTTTCTATTTATGTTGCTCAGGCCCGTCAAAAAGGTCCTTGTGCTTTATTTCATTTAATTTATTTTTTGAGCACAACTGTATAAATTTGCGGGGGGGGGGGGCTAAAGGAGGCAGGATGAGGTGGGGTAGGGGGAGAAGAGGGGGTGTTGGGGGACACTAGATCTGCGGGATTGATGCAATCCAGAGAAGCGTACCAGATCTTTCTGGACTTTGGCATGGAGGAGGATTCGCTGCTTCCGTGGAGAATCCCTAGCTGAGCTGGGCCATCTCCAGTTGCTTGGGACTGGATCAGCCCGTGGGAGGCGTCAGGGGGCATCCCCCACCTCCCGGAGCTACCCAACGTCCTCAGAGCCTCCACTGAACAAAGTTCTCCACCGCCGTTTGCTGGCGAAGCAGCCAGCTGGGGGCAAATCTCCGGGAATGCAGCTGACAGGAGCGCACCCGGCTGCAAGGCAGGCCCCGCCGAAAAGTTATGGATGGCGCATCGGTTTTCGGGTGCAGTTCGAAGCTCCCTTCGCACCCCAGCTGTGCAGGTAACTGCTGCTGTCTTGGAGGCCCAGGGCCTGATCCAGCCGCTCCCACACATCCGGCGCGGGTGCTTTGCAGAACCCATTCATTCTGACCTGCTCCCAGCGGGACGAGCCGATCCCAGCGACACCTGGGCGTGGCGGCTCCGTGGCAAGTTGCCCCCAGCAGAATAGCAGCACTCTCGTGCATGGCAGAGGAGTCTCTGCATGTCCTAACTCCAGGCTCGGCCCAGCGGGACTCACAGTTACGTGACCTCAAAGTCACGCTACTGGCGGATGGTGAGGAGATGCGACCACTGAACGGCCCATGCCAGGACCTGGGCCCCAGCCTGGCAGGCTGAGCCAGGGCCCTCGTCTTCCATGACTGGTGGTGCCTTTTCCATGGAATTTCATTTCATTCTCCACCTTGGGGGGCTGTGTGCACCACAAAGAACACAACTGCTGCTCCAGCACCTGGCTCCCTTCCTCCTGCCCTGGTGAGTAGCCCTTCCTTACCCAACGCAAGAGGTTGCAGAGAGTCGAGCCATGGACTGGTCGCAGGCCTCTTCTCAGGCCCAGGCTGTGAACCCTACCCTGGCCCTGGGGAGCACTTATTCAGCCGCCTAGTCCTATTGACTTCAGTGGGTGACTGCCCGCGCCCCAGTGTAAGGTGAAGCGTTCACCCCGAGTGCCATAGCGAGGGATTGGGGAACCATTTCAGAACCCCTTCAAGGGCGGGGGGGGGAGGTGAGGTAGGGGAGAAGCGACCCGTCCAGAACAGAATTGTTTCAGGACATTGAGCCTATAGCCCTGGCCGTGCAAGGGTTAGTTACAGCCTGGTGCCATCCATTATATCGACCAGATCACAGACTGCTGGATATTAGCAAGGAACCTGACCCATTTTGGACCAAGGGAGACAGCAGGGTTTAGCACAGCAAGAACTGAACAAGGTGTTAGGAGATGCGAGTTCTGTTCCTGACACTACCACGACCCTGCTGCGTCGCCTTGGAGTAGTCACGTCCACTTGCTCTGTACCTCAGTTTCTCCCTTTGAGAGTCTTGCTTATTTAGACCGTAAACTCCTGCGGGCAGGGAATGCCATTCAGGGTGTGAGTGTTCAGGGCCTCTAGCTCCTACCAAAATGTATACACACCCTCAGAGTTAGGGGGAGGGAGGTTGAAATCCCAATGGCATGGCCTTTCTTAGAGATTCCCTTTCATGTTTCCACCCCAGGCCCCCAGCAGGGGGGCCACGAGAGCTAGTTGGGGAATTTTTTGCCAAAAAATGCCAATTTGTTAAAACTGAAACCGTTCATAGAACAGGATTAGTTTAAAAAATCTCCCACTGCAAAAAATTTTTGCAAAAAAATTCTGACTTTTGAACAGGAAAGTTTCAGCATTTTGAGGCAAAATGATTTTTGGTGTCAAAAACATTAGCGACTGCAGACTAAGGAAAGGTGAGACAGAAAGAAAAGCAGGTTGAAAATCCAAAGGAAACATTTTGATTGTCCCAAATGGGAAAAATGTTTGGTATGTGAAAATTGTCAAGATTTTGACTTTTCATCCTACTCCAGGACAGGAACATTTTTCAAAATCGCAGAATTCTTGTGCAATGGGAAAATTATTGCCCAGTTAGTCCTACATGCTGCCAACTCCGTTACCTTTACCTTGCCCATTCCTCCCCAGCTAGCATCCCTCCAGGGTCTCTTCCAAACTTCCTTTGAGAAATAAGTTCAAATGCTTTGGCCATGCCATGGCCCCTGATCACTTCTAAGTGCTTGACTTCTAGATCTTTGCTTTCCTGATGTGTCTCAGTGGAACCCTGCAGGGCGAACGCTCCCTTCACACTGGGTGAAATTCACTAAGGCCTGGTGCAGGACCTTCAGCTGTAGAGGTGAATTTCCCCCGCTGTGCATACACGGCCGTTCTACTTTTCTTATCCTTCTTGCATTTGTGCTCAGATAAATCCGACAGGTCCCTGGAGTGACCTGCTGCTGCTGTGTCAGCATTTATTCCTTTAAGTTCTAGTTCCTGATTTCTCCCCCCTTTTCTTTGAGAGTCTTTGGTCGCTTCTTCCCACATCCCTTATTGGTCCTTCTTCTTGCTCTCCAGAGCTTTCCATGGCTCTTTACTCCTCACTTATGAGCCGTTTCTTCTCGATTTGGCACAGGGAATTAATCAGCTGGGTGGTGTCACCCGAGCGGTGCCTGGCATCGTATGCGCTAAGGGAGCACGGGCCTTTGTCCTGCTCCAGTCCCCGCAGGAGGACAAGTGAAGCCTGTAGTACAGCTGCTTCCTGGAGGAGTGCTTTAAAGCCCTGGAAGTCCTGAGTTCCTACTCCGATGAGGGCCCCTGCTGACTGTAAAATCGGTGCACCAGTGTCTTCGTCTGCCTTCAGGTCCACATAAGCAGATAACAGTTCTCTACGGGTTCCAGCAGATGGACTCATTCCTTTTTCTCGATCTGTACAGGCCCAAGCTTTTAGTAGTGGAGGTCCCAGGTTCAAACCCCATCGATAGCCCAGGTGGGGTTAGAGTCGCATACTCCTTCCCCCGCCCCTTCCCCACTGCCCTACCAGATGCCACCATTCAGGAAACATCAGGGTCAGACCCTCAGCTGCTGTAAAGTGACTGGCCTCCAGTGGTATCAGCAGCACCATGAGACTTTCCCCCAGCCCAGGCTCTGCCACCTGCTTTAGGCCTCTAGACGCTGAACAGAGTCCAGGAACTGCCCCGCACTTGGCGTTTCGAGGCACAGCTCCTCAGTCTAGCAATCCCTCCTGGGAGCCGAGACCTCTGTGGTTCAGTGGCCCAGCCTGAGGGCCGGAGCTGGCCTCCCCAGTAGCTTATGCACACCCTTCCCAGAGCTCTAGCCATGGTGGTGCTCTGGGTTCACAGGTTAACTCTTCAGGGGCATGTGGTAGGTGTAGCACGCAGCATACGCATACACAGACTTTGCACAGGATCCTAAAGCCCCTTGCACTGCACTTAACAGCATGCTAGATACACAAGACTAGGCAGCATAATAAACACACCTCTCTGGAGTGACTCACGACCATAGTACCAACCTCAGGGCAGAATGTCAAAAAGCAGTGCAGACCCCCTACTGGTGGTATGTTCTTGGATTAGATTTCACCAACCCAGTAATAAATGTGAACTCCTAAAGTACTACAAAAGTCTTATAATGGAGTCGCAGACAGTCCCTTTAGAGACTCCAGGCTAGCATGCCACCCAGGCAAGCTGGACTATCTGATAAATGGTCATTTCCACCAAAAAAAAAAAAAAAATCACAAAAACACTAGGTTCCCAGTCCCACTCACCAGGTTGATTTGCATCCCAGGTCTCACACCAAAGACAACGCTGGTAACCAGATTTAAAGGTTTATTAGCTAAGAAAAGGAAGTAAGAGTTATTGAGAGGTTAAAGCAGGTAAAATATATCTACAGGTGAGTCATGGTCTATAATTCCAAATGGTAGCAGAAGTGTAGTAATCTGCCAGTTTCCCCAAAAGTCTCTCAGGGCTACCCAGTGGAGCTATGAAGATCTCAGTCTTCTCACTCAGTTACTCTGCCCTGTTAGAATCCACAAACAGTCCAGAGATGAAGAATTTTCTCTTGTGTCCCTGCTTATAGCTTCTTCCCACAGAAACCAAGCTGACAGGGTCACTACACACATGGGGTCTTTCTTTGAGGGCGGAGAGAGAGGTATACATGTAGAGTCGTCGATGTTCTCTGATCATCTCACACAATGACTACTTGCCTTCAAATGCACAAGAATTAGCACTGCCCCCTTAAAGTTCTTCCTTGGCATTACACAAGGCTTCTTCCTTGTTTGATGGCTCATTTAGTTACAGGGGTGTTACAATATCAATGTTTGCCATTACATTCTAACAGGATACAGATAAGTGAAAACAATGCATGCAACATCCCATTAGTTTTCATGAAGTTTAAAATCCCAAATACATTCTTATCTATTTAACAATCCCTTTGCTCTATACTAGTACACAAGTGAATTGGCCTGGCTTCCAGCTGTGAGTTTGTCAATTCTCAGCTGACATCTAGGCCTAGGCTTATCACAACAGCTAAATGAAGTTCCCCTGCCTCACTGTCCTCACCATGCTGGAGAATTCTGGGTAAGGAGTATTATGGGATGGAGCCATGTCCCACCCCTCTCTTCAGTGGTATTTTCCTCTACACTTTCTTAGGATGCAGTTAATCAAAGCAGCAAGTTCCTACCCTGTAGTCTCATAAATTGACTTATTCTGGTCGCACAACATGTGGTTCTGGTTCCAGGTTGGA